TACTGTGGAACACTGCAGACATGAGACAAACAGGGACAAATCCGGACGACAGCAAATCGAAAATCCCAAATCCTAAATGCTGAAAAAGTGGAATTAAATCAAGAGTAAACTGAGTAAACTGGGAGGGTGTGAACCGGGTCAAAACCAGGAAACAAAACAAAAACAGCATTTAAAGCGTCCTCTGCCTGACCCTCCTCTGCTCCTCACGCAGTTCAGCTTTGCCCATCTGCGAGGAGGCCTGCGGTTCAAATCCCAGGAGCTGGATTATCCTCGGCCTGTGGGGATCTCTCCGCCCGACTCTGAGTGCAAAGTGTAATTACCACAGAGCCACCAGCCGCTCGGAGACTCAACCAGACTGTAAAAACACAAAACATGTTATATAAGAGCAGAGCTTTCTCCAACAACTGACGTCCCCACAAGTCTCTCCTACATTCTGTTAGAATCCAGAAGGGACTGGGATCGGACCATGGAGCGTCACCAGTGATGAGAAGAACACTTTGAACTTGAAACTTAGACTTAGATAACAAAAAATAAATAAAAAAATTAATAAATGGTAATGATACATTCTAAATTAGTAGCAAAAAAGATAGAGACAGGTGTCAAATAAGGTCGAGTTCTGGTCTATCCTGGTCTAGTCTTGGTTTTGTCTTGGTCTAGTCTTGATTTGGTCCTGGTTTAGTCTGGATCTAGTCTTGATGTAGTCTTGGTTTAGTTCTGATGTGGTCCTGGTTTAGTCCTGGTTCAGTCATGGTCTAGTCTTTTTTTAGTCCTGGTTTTAGTCTTGGTTTAGTCCTGGTTCAGACCTGGTCTAGTCTTGTTTTTGTCCTGGTCTACTCCTGGTTTTAGCCCTGGGTTAGTCTTGATCTAGTATTGGTTTAGTCCTGGTGTAGTCCTGGTTTAGTCCTGGTTTAGTCCTGGTGTAGTCCTGGTGTAGTCCTGGTTTAGTCCTGGTTAGTCTGTGTAGTCCTGGTTTAGTCCTGGTGTAGTCCTGGTTTAGTCCTGGTGTAGTCCTGGTGTTCCTGGTGTAGTCCTGGTAGTCCTGGTGTAGTCCTGGTGTAGTCCTGGTGTAGTCCTGGTGTAGTCCTGGTTAGTAGTCCTGGTTCCAGTCTAGTCCTGGTAGTCCTGGTTAGTCCTGGTTCAGTCAGTAAATATTGGTTTAGTCCTGTGTTCCTAGTCCTGGTGTAGTCCTGTTTAGTCCTGGTAGTCCTGGTTTAGTCCAGTTTAGTCCTGGTCAGTCAGTAGTTTAGTCTAGTGTTTAGTCTGGTGTAGTCCTGTTTAGTCCAGTTCAGTCCTGGTTTAATATTGGTTTAGTCTTGGTGTAGTTCTGGTTTAGTCCTGGTGTTGTCTTGGTTTAATACTAGTTTAGCCCTGGGTTAGTCCTGTTCTAGTCTTGGTTTAATCCTTGTTCAGTCCTGGTTTAGTTCTGGTGTAGTCCTGAGTCAGACCTGGTTTAGCCCTGGGTTAATCCTGGCTTAGTCCTGGTTTAGTCTTGGATTAGTTCTAGTTTATTTCTGCCATAGTCATGGTTTAGGCCTTGTTCATTTGTGGTTCAGTCCTGGTTTAGTCCTGGTTTATGGTTTATTGTATTTATTTATTTATTTACACGCATATCGACACTCTTCCTCTATCGTCCCCTCTTCTCCTCCTCCTCTTCTCCATCTTCGTCCTCATCTTCTCATTCCTCTTAAACAGCGACAGTTTCTCGGCTGGGCGTTTCCATGACGATGTGCATCTCTCACACGAGCACTGAGGTGACACGAGCGTCACACGTTTATGGAAAGCACCGTTTCAGACGGAGCGAGCGAGATGTTCTGTTTATGAACGAATCTACAAACTTCACATTCACAAACGTTGAACTTTCTCGTTATTTGTTTTGTTCCCTCCTCAGAAACACACCTGTTGTGTTTTGTTTCATTCACATGTTTGAGTAACACTTTATTATTAGTCTGTCTACATCTCCAAAGATCAAAATGCTCTGCTCCACCTTGTGATGTCATGAAATGGTAGTTTTCAAGTGAGCAGTTCCTTTTACCTTTAGTTCAGTAGAGACGTTCAGTTCAAGGACTGAAATGATCCAAATGATTCAAGTGAAGGTGAATGGAGTTTAAAAACACCTGGTTTAAACCTGGTTTAGTTCTGAGTTAGACCTGATTTAATCCTGGTTTAGACTTGGTTTTGTTCTGAGTTAGACCTGGTTTAGACCCGGTTAAGTCCTAAATTAAACCTGGTTAAATCCAGAGTTAGTCCTGTCTTAGACCTGGTTTGGACCTGATTTAGACCTGGTTTACACTTTCATTAGTCCAGAGTTAGACCTAGTTTAGACCTGGTTTAGTTCTGAGTTAGTTTTGGTCTAGTTCAGAGTTGCACCTGGTTTATTCCTGAATTAGATCTGGTTTAGTCCTGAGTTAGACCTGGTTTAGTCCTGAGTTAGACCTGGTTTAGTCCTGAGGTAGACCTGGTTTATTCTTGAATTAGACCTAGTTTAGTTTTGAGTTAGACCTGATTTAGTCCTGAGTGAGACCTGATTTAGTCCTGAGTTAGACCTGGTTTAGTCCTGGTTTAGACCTGGTTTAGTTCTGAGTTAGACCTGGTTTAGACCTGGTTTAGTCCTGGTTTAGACCTGGTTTAGTCCTGGTTTAGACCTGGTTTATACCTGGATTAGACCTGGTTTAGACCTGCTCGTGTTCAGATGTCCTCAGTGGAATCAGGAGCAGATCCAGTGGGTTAAACTTGTCACCGTCGCCTCCCGGTGAAGCCACACTGTGCCAGAGGAGCGCGCACGTTCATTTGCATGGATGAATAATTAATAGTCAACACAAGGGCACCGCACACGCACGAGGGGGGAGGGGACGTGTGCACGCACAAAGTCACTCCTAACGCACATTTACAGTTTCAGTGAAGAAAATGTACGTAAAACTGATTAAATGTAACACCAGGTGAACATTTTTAATCCTGGTTTATTCCCTTTTTGTTTCTAGATTTCCAGTAAAATTCCTGGTGATTTTTTTATTTTTTTTTTCCTGGAAAGGGGAAGCATTATGTCATCGATATCGCGGGAAGCATGCGGCTTCAGACACGAGGTTATGGTTCATTCCTTTGCACTGGCTCCATCTAGTGGCGGGTTTGAAGAATTACAGGTACTTTTAGAGGATGACGTCATCTAGAATCAGTCACGACTCCAGTGTCTTTCAGTTGAATTAGTGTTAAACAGAGAGGAGAGGGAGCAGAGGAGCAGAAGATCCAGAGGAGAGGGTCAGATGGAGCAGAAGATCTAGAGGAGAGGGTCAGATGGAGCAGAAGATTCAGAGAAGAGGGTCAGATGGAGCAGAAGATCTAGAGGAGAGGGTCAGATGGAGCAGAAGATTCAGAGAAGAGGGTCAGATGGAGCAGAAGATCCACAGAAGAGGGTCAGATGGAGCAGAAGATTCAGAGAAGAGGTCAGGGAAGAAGATCAGAGAAGAGGGTCAGATGGAGCAGAAGATCCACAGAAGAGGGTCAGATGGAGCAGAAGATTCAGAGGAGATGGTCAGATGGAGCAGAGGAGAGGGTCAGAGGAGAAGAAGATCTAGAGGAGAGGGTCAGATGGAGCAGAAGATCTAGAGGAGCAGAAGATGAGAGCAAAGAATCCAAAGGAGAGGGTCAGATGGAGCTGCGGAAAGGTTCAGATGGAGCAGAAGATCCAGAGGAGAGGATCAGACGAGCAAAGGTGAGGGACAGAGGAGCAGAGGGTCAGATGGAGCAGATGAGAAGGTCAGAGGATGCAGAGGAGATGATCAGAGGAGCAGAGAAGAGAGGGTCAGAGGAGAAGAGGAGATGATCAGAGAAGAGGAGAGGGTCAGATGAGGAGTTGAGTTTTTTTCGTTCACACATTTGACTAATCGTGTATTCTGTGGCGTTGTCATTCTGGAGCTAAAAATATCATCTTGACTCTTCATCGATGTGAGAAGAATCATGAGCGTTTCCTCCGCCCTCTGCCTCCCTCTAGAGGTTTATTCTGTATTAACAGGATATATTTACTTGGCCAAAAAACATGTTAAACTCCAAGATGCAGTTTTCTTTCCAACAGAAATGGAAAAACAACAAATGTCACTTCTTCGTTTAAATGTTTTAGGGCTCATAATGTTTATTTATTGAATAGACAGATGCTTTTGATAGATAGATTAATGGATGGATAGAAAGTAGATAGATCAATAGATGGATAGATAAATGAATAGATAAATAAATACATGAATGAGTAGAAAAGAATAAAAAGAACAGAATACTTTTTTTAGTAGAGCATCTTACCTTGTGTTATGCCCCGCCCCCTAAACTCCTAAAGCATGTGATTGGCTGTTAGTCCTGGTTTAGTCCTGAGTTAGACCTGATTTAGTCCTGGTTTAGTCCTAAATTAGACCTGGTTTAGACCTGGTTTCAGCCGGGTTTAGTTCTGAGTTAGACCTGATTTACACCTGGTATAGACCTGGTTTAGACTTGATTTAGTCCTGAGGTAGACTTGGTTTAGTCCTAAATTAGACCTGGTTTCAACCTGGTTTAGTCCTGAGTTAGACCTGGTTTTGACCTGGTTTAGTCCTGTGTTAGACCTGGTTCAGTTCTAAGTTAGACCTGGTATAGGCCTGGTTTAGACTTGATTTAGTCCTGAGTTAGACCTGGTTTAGTCCTAAATTAGACCTGGTTTAGTTCTGAGTTAGACCTGGTTTAGACCTGGTTTAGTTCTGAGTTAGACCTGGTTTAGTCCTGGTTTAGACCTGGTTTAGTTCTGAGTTAGACCTGGTTTAGTCCTAAATTAGACCTGGTTTAGACCTGGTTTAAACATGGTTTAGACCTGGTTTAGTCCTGGTTCAGTTCTGGTTCAGTTCTGAGTAGATTAAAACACTTTTTTAGTAAAACGTCTCACCTTGCGTTAAGCTCCGCCCCCTGGCCTCCTGAAGCCTGTGATTGGCTGATTGGGTTCAGGTGTGAGCAGACAGGAGCAGGTCCAGGAGCCTCCGGTGTCCCAAATATTTACCAAAAAAAACCAAAAACAAAAAAACTGTCCTCCTCTAACATGGACAACAGGTACTCTTATATACTCACTTTATACCACTGAACTTATGAAACTCCACGCAAACTCAATGTTTAAGTTATAATATGTTGTAATTCTGAGTTTTTAGGCCTGCTGATTAACTCCAGTTCAAGTATCTGTGTATTTGTGTGTTTTTATCATTGAAAACAGTTAAATGAAGAGGTTTGACAGGCTCAACTGCTCTTTTTACTAAAACATGTTCTGGTTTAGTCCTTTGTTCTGCTCTACAAGAATGTATTATTAAAAAGCTTGACATTTCTTTTAAAAACACGTCTAATCACTACATTTGAAGCTTTATTAGATCTCAGAATCTACACAAATATTTTTACACTTTTACTTAAGTAGATTTTTGTATGTGATACTTTTACTTCTGCTTCTGAGTATTATTTGTTTTGCTCCAGTATCAGTAAGTAACAAACTTGAGTATTTCTTTCACCACAGGATATAAGTTAGTCATAATTAGACAAACTTGTCCATCTAAAATATCTGAATATCATGAAAAGGTTTAATTTCTGTTTGTTTTTGTCACTCATTTCAGAAAGTCAAACCCATATATTATATACATGACACACTGACACTTTTAAGCCTTTATTTCTTGACATTTTGATGATTGTGGCTTACAGATAAAGAAAACCAAAATTCTGTGTCTCGGAACATTAGAATCTAGTGAAAAGGCTGAATACTGTGAAGTCATGGTCTCACCCCTTAATCAACTTATTAAGGCCAGTTTCATTAGTTTGTTTTTTAAAATAATTCTGTTGAACAACAATTCAAAATTAGTGTCTGATTTTCATTGGTTATTTGTCAGGAAATTCTTATTTATTATTCCTTTTCTCAGTTTCAAGTTATTTCAGTGACCATTGTTGATTTTTCTTTCATTATAAAAGCGGTACCAACAATTTTGTCCACAACTGTAGGTGTAATTGAAAAGTACAAATTGTTCACTTCTTCCTGTTTTTTATTTACTCATTTACTCTGATTTTTGCACTATTAAAAAACAACAACAAAACAAAAAACTAAACTAAAAAATAAATAAATAGTCCACCAAACTTTATTCTCCTGGAGTTACAAGATAGCAGTAGTAGTAGTTGAAGCAGGCGCAGTACTTTGTTTGATGTATAGTATATATTGGTGGAAGGAGGGCTTGTTTTGAGAGCTGCATGATCAGATGTTTTTGCTTGTGAATAATGTTGATATTAGGACAGCTACAGAGACAGAGGAAGAGGCAACCAGTACAGACAGTGCACTTTATCTCACTGTGCACATGATATTCATGTGCACAGTGAGAGGTGGGGAAAGTACTGAAGACTTTGTACTACAGTATAAGTACAACTGCGAGGCTAAAATGTACTCAATTTCTGTTAAAGCCGGGTGTACACCGTGCGATTTTTGACCCTTTTTGAGCCGATTTTTCACTTGTGCGACTGTTTTGGGGATCGGGACGAGTTTTGGCTTCATCGTGTTTCGTGTAGTAAACATGGGGTAAAGAACCGATTAATACCTCACGACCAGCTCCCGATCGGCATTCGTAGGTCACAAGAAAATCAAACTTGTTTGAAATCCAGTCGCCTCTTATGAGGGTTTCACTCTGTTGAAGTCGTTCCACGAGCCGATTTGCCAGAATCTGTCAGACTGAGCATGTGCGGATACAGAAGCAGAAGCAGGATATGAGGTTGTGGAGGACGATGGCGCCGGCGAGTGTTTTGGACACAGGACATGGAGGCGCAGCTAATGGAGCAACACAGAACACAAGTTTGGTGAAAAACTTGATGCTACTTACCACCAGTTCCTTCTGAAAAACTGACAACCTGTACTGCCCACGTCTGCCCACGTCTGCCCACGTCTGCTCACGTCTGTCCACGTCTGTCCACGTCTGTCCACATCTGTCCAGCCATTTCTTTGACCAGATTTGTCGCCTGTTCTTTTTGGGCTTGTCTGCGCAGAGAATGGCACAAATTGCCAAAGCAGCTAGTCTGTTTTTTGCCTGGATCAGCATTGCATCTGTGGTTTTCTACTTCTGGCACAACAACTCCGGTCGTTATGTGATTGTACAGTGTGAGCAGGCAGGTCGCATCTGAGCATCGTTTCATACAGTGTGAGAACATGATTCGTGAGCTGTGAACTTTTAAACCCTGCGATTTGGTCGTACAGTTTAAGCTGGGGCTGAGTGACACGCCCGAAAATATCACACAGTGTACACCCGGCATAAGGCAGTTTGGTCAAAAATGAGGTCATGTCATTTTGTTTGTATTTGAGACTTCCTTTATCATGTGAATAAATATTGTGGAAAATATTGAGCTCAAAATTGACCTTTCACCCTTTATTTGGCAGTTCCTGTTCTCTGCCTTTGTATCATGAACCAAAAATAAGGAGTCAAAAGGCTCCTTAGGCTTGAGCTAGTTTTTTATTTTGTGTGTGTGTGTGTATATATATATATATATATATATATATATATAGTTAAGGACAACAGAATATAACATAAAAAAATACAACAATCAAAATTTAACAATTACAATAATCAGCATAAAACAAAAGAAAAACATAAAGCAACACCCACAACAAATACAAAACAACAACAAAAAAGCTCCCATTTCCCCCCGACCACACACACCAACACAAATTTGACTAAATTAAACAAAAGTAATGTGGTAGTGCAACCACACCGCTTACGGAGTAAGAAAGCTTTCAATAATATTTGTGCGCGTAGAATAGAAATCCGTGCGTATTTGGCTGTAGTTGCACACAAAATAAATATTTGTAAAATCTCAAATGAGTCCAGTCGTACATAAAATATATTGTGTGTATTTTATCCATCAGAATACGAACTGAAAAGTTACGACATCAAGAATTACAATCACAAAATGAAAATTTACTATTACACTTTCATCAGTACGAATATGAATTCACAGACGGGACTTTACTGTGAAAAATACGTCATCGCTTCACATACATTATTTATCGAGCAGAAGAAACATTGATCAAGATCAAGACTGCGCATGTTTAAGTTTGTAGCAGAGGGTAAAAATGGAGTAATTGGACAAGGTACGGAGCCCGCCTGATGACGTACGTAAAAAAAAGATATAAAATCTTTTTAATATCTTTAATATAATATCTTTTTTGGCGTACGTCATGAGGTGGGCTCCGTAACAAGGAGCTACAACAGCGACCAACAAGTGGGTTAATTCAAATATATTGTAAAAATGTCTTGTCCTTTCCACATAGAATTCGTGAACCGAACACTGCTGTGTAATATTGTGTTGAAACACCTCCTCTGAACGGGAAATTGCACCTATATTTTAGTAGATAACATAGTGGAGCCAGTTTGCGAACATCAGACGTCACATTATCCAAGAGCTAATTCGCAAATATCGGCGTTCTCTGCATGTTTAGATTAAAACATTCACGGCTACAGCCACAGCGAGCATCAGTCAGTCTTAACCTTCATCTCAACTGAATTTCTCGCATGAAATGTGACCAAAAGTTCCTCGGGACACTGAAATGTCCCAGTTTACACCAAACACTACCAAACTGTCCTGGTTACAGACACCACAGTCAATGAAGTGTTACACATTACAGTTTAAAGCAGCTTCCAGCTTCAGTTAATGTTGGTGTTAACAGGCAACATTTTGCTCTGTATACAGTATTTACCGGTAAGTATAACGTCACCGTGTCGTGGCGTGGATGGATTTGCTAGTTCATTATAACCCATTATAACTCATATATAACCCATTGTCTGTATGAGGTCACACTCCCAGATGAGTCCAGAGAGCCTGATTTAATAATAAAACTGTACTTTAACATGAAATATCCATAATGTAAATTCACAAATGTGGAACCTGAACATTTGTGTCAGTGTATAGACACAAGAACTCACTGTATGGCAACAAAAACCTGCGTTCTGAAACCCAGCAACGGAATTCTTTGATCCCCGTATCCATAGCAACCGTCTTTGAAGATTCTGTTCTAGAAAGGCACTTTATGACACGTCTGCTGCCACAGAACTTCTATCGGAAACTAACGGACCAGTCAGAAATCTCTCGGACAAGTGTATCCACACGAATCCCAAGATGTCACACCACAGTCAAAGTACTGCTTCATCCAGCCCCGTCAGCTGCAAGAAAACCATCGACAAGAGGAAGCGTTTTACAACTCCTCTAATGAGAAAGAGCCAGAAAATGTTCCAACTGCTTCTGTCAATGAAGCCCCACATCCCTGTGGCTCCTCGGCCTCGCCTCTGTCCTGTGGTGATGAAGCCTCCAGTGAAGCCCACAGCGGAGCGTCTGGCTCAGGTCTGCCAAAAGATCAAATCAAAAGAACGACCTGCCCCTAGGAAAATAATCCTAGTACATGATCCTCCCAAGATCACTGCAGCACCAGCGTTCAGGAAACCAACCCAGGACCCTCGTGGTTCATCTTTAAAGATGAAGGTCCTAAAGAAAGGTAATGCTCAGTCTGGTCCACAGCAACGTACCAGTGCAGCTCGTCCTTCAGCCCGGGCTCGACCATATCCCACACGGGAGAGCATCTCCCGACAGCGGTGCTCAGCCCCTCCTGCTGCCCGGAAAGTGCCTTATAAATTAACAATTTCTTCTGCTAATGACAATGAGGCACTGACTTTTGCAAGAAGGACAACTGCACCATCCAGAGTCTGGTGCCTGTCTTTTCAGGTACAGATAAATAAGTGTTTCATTTGAGACACACACACCACTGTCATGATGAGGGCAAAGCCATCGCTGTCAACTGTCGTAAGACAGAGAAGTAAGACAGAGGGACCAAGCTGAGCGATGCACTCAACTCCCTCGGTGTCCTACAGGACGTAGGGCCTATTACTTTTGCAACGAAGTCCATGGCTCTTTCTGCAGGAGACATGATACCAGACAGAACAGAAGCTCTTTTCTGCACCTGTATTGAATAATTTTTGTTTTTTTAAAATAAATAAATCTTTCTGTGTAAATATCTCAAGTTACAACATGTACTCCTGTGGTTTATAGACAAGTGCGACCTATATAGGTACTTTTTTTTTTGTCTTTTAAAATTTTTGTTATTTTTTCTTATATTCAGGTGCGCAATAGTTCAGAAATGACAGCACTTAAATGAAAACATGCGCAAAGTTTTCCTGAGCCTTTAAATGTCCAGTCTGTTTGGGTCAGTGGGAGACACAATCATAGTGAAGACTGCAGATGACAAACATCCAGAACACTCACTGACTCTCCACAGAAAGGAGGGAAACATGAACCAGCCAAAGGGACGACCTCACCCCTGAGAAGATTTTAAAGCAAAATCAGGATAGTGGTTTGAGCAGTCGTCCCCCAACACTAAGGTCAGAGGACGAAAATCCTGCTTGGGCCAAGTTCTGTCATTGTGCCCTTAAACAAAACACTTGACCTGCATTGCCTAGTATGAAAGTAGAGTGTGCATGAATGATTACTGATGATCAGAGGGCTGATGTTTCAGATTGACAGCCTCACTTCTGTCTGTGTGCCCCACAGTGTGAATGTAGAATGATGAAAGTGTAGCACTTTTTGTCAAGCCTGTAAAACACATCACAAGTGTAAGTCATTATCATTATCATTATTATTATTGTTGTTATTATTATTATCATTATTATTATTATTATTATTGTTATTATTAGGGGTGTCAAATTATCGCGTTAATTGCGATTAATTAATTACAGTCATATTTAGCTCGTTATGTTTTTTAATCGCGTTAATCTCATTTTTAATCTCTAACTTTAGTGTTTATGTATGCGAGTTGCTTAACTATAAAACCTGTTTTTATGTGTTGTTGGGACAACAACACACACACACACACAAAAAAAACACATTTATACATTTTTTCATTTCAGTAATTCCACTCATTGCTGGAAACCCACACAAAACACGCGCAGTAAGAGCGATGTAAACGTCATGTTCACGTTGGCGGCGTCAGTCACACAATGGACGAAGTCGAAGAGCCAGTAGAACAGAGCAGCAGTGCACAGGTAAAAACACATTCGTGTCTTGGAAATTATTCTCCCGATGAAAGATATAAAAGAAAATAACAAATATAAAATCGCCTACAACTTAAATGTCACTGGTGAAAACAACCTGCATAGACTCATGATGTCTGCACTACTGTCCTATAGTGACCTGCCACATGAGGGGACACACACACAAACACACACAAACACAAACACACACCTTCATCATCGTCATTAACCTGAGAACGCGCGGACCACGTTTCCTTCCGTAGACACTGCGCGGACACCGACGTGCTCCCGTGAGCCGCGTGTGGATCGTGTTTTCTCGCGTACGCGGCGTAAACCGCGCTTCCTCCTGTGCGACTCTAAACCAGAACTAACACCAAGACTAAAACCAGGACTAAACCAGTCCACGAGTAAACCAGGACTAAACCAGGACTAAACCAGGACTAAAACCAGAACTAAAACCAGGTCTAAACCACAACTAAACCAGGACTAAACCAGGACTAAACCAGAACTAACACCAGGACTAAATCCAGGATTAATCCATTCCAGGACTAAACTAGGACTAAAGTAGGACTAAAGCAGGTCTAAACCAGGACTAAAACAAGGACTAAAACCAGTGATCTCATATATAAAGAATTTCTCTATCAATAATATTTTTCATATGGTTAAGGAAAGACTGGACTTTTTATTGTCTTTAAGTAGACAAAAGTTATTATGTTCAGATTTCCTCGTCTTTGCTACTTTACAGCAAACAGTTTCTTATTCATGGAGACTTGGGCTCAACAGCCAATTTGGAGAGATTTGTTAAACAATAAATGACTTTATAAAGTCACTTTTTTTTGTTCTATATCAGTCTTTTGATCTGCCACAATAATGTAATAATGAATTTAAATGAAAATACCTCAAATTGAAGCTTTTCTCAGCAATTTTTAAGTGAGATTAAAATGAGATTAATTAGATTAATTAATTACAGATCATAATTAATTAATCTCTAAATTTTTTGAATCGCATGACAGCACTAATTATTATTATTATTATTATAAATCCATTCAAGAATTTGTGGGAGCTTCATAAGAAGTGGAGTGAGGCTGGAGTCGGTGCATCAAGAGCCATTAAGAGCCACTACATACAGACTCAGGCCATCTACCAGGACATTTCAGAGCACTTCATACTTCCTTCGGCTGATGAGCTTTATGGAGATGCTGGTTTCATTTTAGATCCCAAAAGCTGCTTCACTGACCATGGTGTTACTGTGCTCGATTGTCCTGCAAACTCTCCTGACCTGAACCCCACAGAGAATCTCTGGGATATTAAGAGGAAAACGAAGCACACCAGAGCCAAAATGCAGGCCACCGTGAAAGCAGAATGGACTTCCATTCCACCTGAGCAGTAATTCAGGCCAAAGGCCTAAGTGCAGAGCACAGTTTTTCAGAAGCTTCACATTCACATTTCTGTTTAAAATATTCATTCTTTTTTTATTTTTTTTATTTATAGATATAGATATTATATGGATTTGACTTCCTGAAATAAATTTGTGACAAAAAATATTGAACATTTTCATTATGTTGTTGTTATTAATTGATAATTTTTTTTAGCTTGACCAGTAAATCCCTTCTCCTCTTCCTCCCCAGCCCCTCCGTCCGTGGATCCTGTGGATCCTGTGGAGCCTGTGGATCCTGTGGATCCTGTTGGCCTAAAGTCCAGGCTCTGGTCCGGACCGTGAGCCGGAGGAAGCCCATAGACCCAGTGGGGAGTAACTCTGGCTTCTCCCGCTGCCTGAGCACGCTGGACGTGATCGGGCTGGGCGTGGGCAGTACTCTGGGTGGGGGGGTGTACGTCCTCTCCGGTGAGGTGGCTCGTGAGGCGGCCGGTCCCAGTATCGTGCTGTCTTTCCTGGTGGCGGCAGTAGCAGCGGTGTTCTCGGGGCTGTGCTACGCTGAGTTTGGAGCCAGGGTTCCTAAGATGGGGTCTGCGTACCTCTACGCTTATGTCACTGTGGGGGAGCTGTGGGCCTTCGTCACCGGTTGGAACCTGCTCCTGTCCTACGTCATCGGTGAGAAACACTGTGAACCCCTTAAAAATGACTTTATGGATTTGAACGTACATATCCTGACCTCAAAGGCACTGCACCTGATTGTTACTTGGGATAAACTGGAATATTGGCACCAGTACTAAAAAATCTGATGGAGCAAATATCGGTTTCCAAATATCGGTTGAGTCGACGTCCTAGTTTGAAATAAATTTGATGAAATAAGATTATATCCAGGTCTTAATTGGCCCAAAAAGGCTCATAATGTTGAACTTTTATTTATGCGAAGTTGTTCTGGAGTTTGTTGTGGGATAAATAATAACTCCAGAACACATTTGGATCAGTTTTGTCTTATTTTAAAGGAAATAAATGCTGTTTTCAGTCTCTGCACTGCTATCGGTTGATATGAGGGATCGGCTGATACTTATATCTATAGTATTGAACTGCAAAAGCTCGGTGCATCCCTAAATATCCATCCAGCCATCCATCCATTTTCTTCCGCTTATCCGGGGTCAGGTCGTTGAGGCATCCATCTAAGCAGGGACTCCCAGACTTCCTTCACCCCGGACACTTCCTCCAGCTCCTCCAGGGGGACCCCAAACATCCCCAGGTCAGCCCAGAGACAGAGTCCCTCCCATGCCCAGAACACCTCCTCAGGGAGGCACCCAGGAGGCATCTGGAACAGACGCCCTCCCCTCAGCTGCTTCTCTTGACGTGGAGGAGCAGCGGCTCTACTCCGAGCTCCTCCTGTGTGATTGAGCTCCTCACCCTATCTCTAAGGGAGCACCCAGCCCCCCTGCAGAGGAAACTCATTTCGACCATGGTATCCGCGATCTCATCCTTTCATTAATTACCCAAAAGGTTAAGATTGCAGGTGTTATAAAAAAAATGAACTTTTTCACAATACTAGTTCTGTTTTTACCGTCTTAAAAATGTGAACTGAAGTAGATCATTTTAAACAGTTTCAGGGTTCCAAAGTTCTTCCTCACTTTACTTCCTGACGTATTCAAAGCATCTGAATCACTCACCATGATGGGTTTCTAAGTGCTTTTCACATCTCTCAGAAACTAGAGCGGAGTTTTGCTGTGACAGAAAAGTTCATAACAAATAGGCAGGTCACGAAAACACCTTTTGAAGTACGATATATTGTTACAGAGAAATATTGCGATAAATGATAATACTGAAAATGCCAGTAAACCAGTTTTTACACACAGTCTCATTAAAAATCCTGAGCTGCCACAGATAAATGACAGAATAGACCAATATTTATTTATTTATTTTATTTATTTATAGCAGTTATTTATTCTACGCTCTACAGTTCAAATCTTACATTACTACATAAAAATGGCACAAAAAAAAAAAAAACCCTCTCCACTATTGCAAAGAAAAAGTACCTTGAGCCCCAAAATACTGTGTACTGTTCCAGCTTTAAGATATTAAACAATAAGTCAGTATAGTTTTTATCCAGCTAGTATGAGTTTTCAAATGCCGCCTCCTCCTTACGCCAGAAACAGGTTTGTTTACAGCCGGTGCGCTGCACGTGACTTGTAAACAACTAACTACAGTGTTGGTTAGGCAAGACGGAGAAGTGAGGAGCGGGGGGAGCGGGTGCGCGGACATTTCGTGCGCGGACGAGAAGTGAGGAGCAGGGAGAAGAGCGGAGCAGGGAGAGGAGAGAGGAGAGAGGAGAGGGGAGCGGTGCGCGGAGATTCCGTGCCCGGAGAAGTGAGGAGCAGGGGGAAGAGCGGATCGGGCAGCGGGGACAGGAGCAGGAAAGGGGTGCAGAGAAGGTTGCGCGGAGATTCAGTGCGAATGAACTAGCTACAACACGCAGCAGCAAGCGGACTCTTTCTTTGCACTGAAAATGATGTTTTCAGACATAGGATATCGCTTTCGTGTCCTGAAAAACGTTTGTCTAGCTCTTGGAAATAAAGTAAGTTTTCATAATAAGCAGAAGTGACCTGTCCAGGAGTAATTTGGCGACCAGTGCGTCAGTCTTTAGACCCTGCGTCTGCTTCCATCGCTGAAATGAATCTCCAAGAATCACCTTAGTTTGGCTTCGCTGCTTTTCCCCTTGTCTTCTTCTTTCAGCGACCTCAAAAACGGACTTTCTTTTGCGGCGAACTGCTCCTGGATTCTTGTCGCCATTGCAACAAACTTTGTGCAAACTGCGAGGAAGATATAGGTCAAAAAAGCTGCTAAGAACTGTTGCGTTGGTGGAGTAAACAGCGTCTGCGTCTGTGGACTGCGTGACAGGCGTACGTAAACCACGTACCGGCGGCGCGCAGGCAAGTCAGTTACACTAGAAATGTAGGGAGTTTGATTGACAGCCTATCAACTAACAGATAACGAGGCAGTGTCATTATCTATTGGCAAATGTTTAGCCCCACCATGTCCAGAGTTGATGAATTTTTATTCTCTTTTTTTTGGTCATCATAATTACAAGGCTACTGCATCTCCATAATGCTATCACTGACAAAATCCTCCATACAACCTTTAAAGCAACAGTAATTCTGAACACATTTGTACGAGTCTCAAATCCAGGGTCAAATGTTCCAGCTGTGATTTGAATTTTTGTGATTGGTTGTGCGTCTGAGGTGGAGGGGCGTCCACAGCACACAGGAGGCAGGAGAACACGGCTGAAACAGGTTAAATAGTGATACTCCCACTCGTCTCCCCACAGGAACATCGAGTGTGGCCAAAGCGCTGACCGGGGCGTTTGATGACCTCATCGATAATGTGATTGGTCAAACTCTGGAGCGGCACATGCCCATGAAATCCCCCGGCCTCGCCCCCTACCCCGACTTCTTCTCTGCGGCGCTTGTCATGCTGCTTGCAGGTACACACAGAGTACTACACCTACTACAGGTACACACATAGTACTACACCTACTACAGGTACACACAGAGTACTACACCTACTACAGGTACACACAGAGTACTACATCTACTACAGGTACACACAGAGTACTACACCTACTACAGGTACACACAGAGTACTACACCTACTATAGGTACACACAGAGTACTACACCTACTACAGGTACACACAGAGTACTACATCTACTACAGGTACACAAAGAGTACTACACCTACTATAGGTACACACAGAGTACTACACCTACTACAGGTAGACACAGAGTACTACATCTACTACAGGTACACACAGAGTACTACACATACTACAGGTAGATACAGAGTACTACACATACTACAGGTACACACAGAGTACTACACATCCTACAGGTACACACACTGAGTACTACACATCCTACAGGTACACACACTGAGTACTACACATCCTACAGGTACACACAGAGTACTACACATCCTACAGGTACACACAGAGTACTACACATCCTACAGGTACACACAGAGTACTACACATCCTACAGGTACACACAGAGTACTACACATCCTACAGGTACACACTGAGTACTACACACACTACAGGTACACACAGAGTACTACACATCCTACAGGTACACACAGAGTACTACACATACTACAAGTACACATACTACAGGTACACACAGAGTACTACACATACTACAAGTACACAAATCATCTTTTACATTGACCAAACTAGTATAAAAACGACCTGTTTAATCTGTGAAAAGACAGTTATTTTAAGATGATTTGATCATGAAGTGCAACTTGAGCAGTGCCTCCAGTCAGCTTCATCCTCCAGGGAATGTTGATGACATCAGCTGCAAAGTATCAACAGTTAAGTAAACGTTGTAACCGGACTATTTCCTGTTGTGTGTCAGGAGTTCTAGCGTACGGTGTGAAGGAGTCGGCCATCTTGAATACGATCTTCACCGGTCTGAACGTGGCAGTGCTCCTCTTCATCATCATCTCTGGGTTTGCCAAAGGAGACCTCCGAAACTGGAGTCTGAGCAAAGCAGACCTGAACTACACCGCGCACGCAAGGTGAAGACACATGAACGCAGTGGATTTACCTTAACCACTTTCACTTCATCTTCCTAGTTTCTATGAAACTATTCATAATAATTCTGGAGGTGCACTGATGGAGCTTTTTCATTTTCTGATACTAATGTTGATACTTGATATTTTTATTTCCTTTACACAAGAGCATAAGATAAAAAATTATCCAAATGTATGAGACGTTTTGAGACAACATTGTCCAGTAAATCGTCTTATTACACCAATTTATAGCCGTACCCTTTTGGTGGGTCAAAGTTATGAGGGCAAATTCTCTCCTTGTTCCACCAAACTGTCAGAGCAACAGACCTGACTTCATGTAAAGTCTGTCTGTTCTGTCCTGGTCAGGAACCTGTCTTTTGCTCAGAACTCGTCAGACTTGCACTTTGGCTCTGGAGGGTTTTTCCCGTTTGGATTTGAGGGAACTTTATCTGGAGCAGCCACGTGTTTCTACGCCTTTGTAGGCTTCGACTGCATCGCCACCACAGGTACAACACCCATCACACCACAGGTACAACAGCACCCACCACCACACCACAGGTACAACAGCACCCACCACCACACCACAGGTACAACAGCACCCACCACCACACCACAGGTACAACAGCACCCACCACACCTCAGGTACAACAGCACCCACCACCACACCACAGGTACAACAGCACCCACCACCACACCACAGGTACAACAGCACCCACCACCACATCACAGGTACAACACCCACCCAACACCACAGGTAAATTAGCACCCATCCCACCACAGGTACAACAGCACCCACCACACCTCAGGTACAACACCCACCCCACCTCAGGTACAACAGCACCCACCCCACCTCAGGTACAACAGCACCCACCCCACCTCAGGTACAACAGCACCCCCCCACCTCAGGTACACAGCACACCTCAGGTACAACACCCACCCCACCTCAGGTACAACAGCATCCACCACACCTCAGGTACAACACCCACCCCACCTCAGGTACAACAGCACCCACCACACCTCAGGTACAACAGCACCCTCCACACCAAAGGTATAACAGCACCCTTCGTGTCCAGGTGAGGAGGTGCACAACCCTAAGAAGGCCGTCCCTCAGGGCATCGTGGTCTCCCTGCTCTTGTGTTTCGTGGCGTATTTTGGCGTCTCTGCTTCTCTGACGCTCCTGATGCCCTACCACCTTCTGGACACTCACAGCCCTCTGCCCGTCGCCTTCGAGTACGTGGGCTGGGACCCGGCCAAGTACGCTGTGGCTGTGGGCTCCTTCTGTGCTCTGTCCACCAGGTGAGTCAGATGCCCTCCCATCCCTGTCTCAATAGTCTGCTACTGTTTGGTTCTCATTTTAGGACAGTTATTTGTATTTTAAATTCTTCCAAATGAAAGACTAACTATACCGGAATACACTTACTCAGAAGTAGTATTGTGAAGCTCTTTTTTTCAACTGTTTTGGTTAAACACTCAAAACTCTAAACAAAATCAAACCTACAGCATTACCATCTGCTCTTCCTCATAATTAGAAATCAGTGAAAGGCTCTTCCTGTTGTGTCCTCTCTCCTCAGTCTTTTAGGTACGATGCTTCCCATGGCCCGTGTGCTGTTTGCAATGGCCAGAGACGGGCTCCTCTTCAAACCTCTGAGCTTCACCAGCTCCAGACAAAGTCCAGTGCTGTCCACTCTGTGCTCCGGAGCTGTGGCCGGTCAGTCACAACACCCTCACCCAGACGTCCCTATTTACCTGGGACAGTCCCAGTTCTGAGCCTGTGTCCCCTGTCCCAGCAGATTTATACAAAACCACTGATTTGTTCCAATTTTATACAAGAAATGTCCCAGGTGTCTCTATTTTTGAACAATATGATATGAATAAATAGTAAGGGGGGCAATGCATTGTAATTTGTTCAACTAAAATACAGAACATTGTACTTGGGAAAAAAAAAAGTCCCTCAGATTATATAATGAAAATGAACAATGTTACTTGCTCTTTTCGCAGTTTTATTTATACCAACCATCCCAACCTCAGTGTGTCCCAGTTTTGAATTTTGAAAGTCTGGTCACCCTGTCCTCACCCTAACACTGCTGTGGTGGGATATGATACTGGTGAAGCCCATAATGTGAAGCCCTTATGAACGCTGTGTGTCTCTGTGTGTCTCTGTGTGTGTGTGTTTGTGTGTGTCTCTGTGTGTGTCTCTGTGTGTCTCTGTGTGTGTCTCTGTGTGTCTCTGTGTGTGTCTCTGTGTGTCTGTGTGTGTGTCTCTGTGTGTCTGTGTGTGTCTCTGTGTGTGTGTGTTTGTGTGTTTGTCTGTGTGTGTGTCTGTCTCTGTCTGTGTGTGTGCGTTTGTGTATGTGTGTCTCTGTCTGTGTGTGTGGGGGTGTCTCTGTTTGTGTGTGTGTCTGTCTCTGTGTGTGTGTGTGTGTGTTTCTGTGTGTTTCTGTGTGTCTCTGTGTGTGTCTCTGTGTGTGTGTGTGTGTGTCTGTGTGTGTTTCTGTGTGTCTCTGTGTGTCTGTGTGTGTTTCTGTGTGTCTCTGTGTGTGTGTCTGTGTGTGTTTCTGTGTGTCTCTGTGTGTCTGTGTGTCTCTGTGTGTTTTCCTCTCAGCCTTCATGGTGCTGCTGTTTGACCTCAAAGCTCTGGTCGACCTGAGTTCCATCGGGACCATCTTCGCCTACACTCTGGTGGCCATCTGCATCCTCATCCTCAGGTGAGAGAGGACACTGACCTAAAGCTGGTACTGACTTTGTTCTTGGGCAAGGCACTTTCCCTTGGACACACTTTACTTTACTGTAGGGCTACTTGTTACTATGACGCTTGTACATGTGATTATGTTCAGAGTGTCTGTGAGGGTTTCTTAGGTCTGGTTACATGTTGTTTCCTTAAACTCAGTGAGATAGTACATAGAAGTAAGACTAGTATAAAAAGTTCTATGTGTGAAAAAGTCTGCACTTCTGTGTCCAGGTACAAAGAAGAGAACATGATCGTGAGGAGGGAGGACTTCAGTGTGATGGGTCTGCTCATCCCTCCATACAGAGCCACTCCACGGACCTCCAAGAACGTCAGGGTGCTCATCATCTGCATCTGTGAGGGACAATACAGACCCCGGACTGGAACCTGGACTGGAACTGTGGACTGGACCGTGGACTGGACTGTGGACTGGACTGTGGACTGGACTGTGGACTGGACTGTGGACTGGACTGTGGACTGGACCCCGGACTGGACCCCGGACTGGACTGTGGACTGGACCCCGGACTGGACCTCCTAGAACAATGAAGACTGTAGTTCAAATTTATTAGGCTATAACAATGTTACACTGGTGATGTCATGGTCTACTCAGAGTATTTCAGTTGATACAGGCATGTTTGAGAAATCACATGTTGTTCTGCATTTGAGGCTTGAAATTCAAACTCTGGGTCAGGCCTGTGGAGTTAAAAACACTAAGTTAAATGAAATATGCTTTTTTTTTTTTTTTTTTTTTTTTAAGCCAATGTTTCCTTAAAAAAAAGTAAGAAAATGCAGAAGGCCCCAAGTGCCACCAGATGGCGCCCATGCACTGTACACCCATCTGTACTTGTAGAACTGTTTCTGTCGCTTCCATTATAATTTCTCCTTTCTCTCCTCTCTCTCCTGTTTCTCTCTATCAGTGGTGTTGGTTCTGCTGCTGAGTCTGCTCCTGTCTGAAGCTCTGGTCTCCCTCCAGACTCGGGAGGTCTGGTCCGTGCTCTTGGTCTCAGTCCTGGTCTTGGTCCTGGTCCTGGCCGTGGTCCTGATCTGGAGACAGCCTCAGAACTCCACCAAAGCCTCCTTCATGGTAACGCAAACAACAAGCTCTGTAATCCTAGTGTTCTCAGACCGTTCCCCACCCCCTCAGTCCAGAAACGCTTCCACAACTGCATCACTGAAGAGGAAAAAAAAATGTAGTCAGCTTTTATTTCAGATGATTTGATTTACGGAATAATTTTCAATCTGAACATGTCCAGATGCTCGTCTTACTACAGGAAACACACGGACAAACTACATGTAATATGCTTCAGTTAGTTTTATTCTTTGCATATGTTTATTTTACTTTAAATATGAGGCCAACATTCACGTAAACGGCACAGTTAAGTGCAATAAACCTGAACAAACACATGTGAGAGTGAGAAACACTGAGTGAGTGAGAGAGACTGAGTGTTTTTTCTTTACTATACTTAACTTAAATGAATAGTGAACCAATGATTCAGTTGTGAGATGACATTTTAACAGGTGGTGGTTGGTAAAATAAAGTTAAAATATTGGTCAGCATGGTTTGAATTTATTTATTTGGAGGATAAGTCCCTTGAGATGTTTCACTATCTCGTTTTCGAGGGGTCCACGTAGTCACAACAACAAAAGACAGATACAGTAGGACAGACAGGACAATACATACATTCAAATAAACATCAAAACAACAAAGTCAACACAACCACACACACAAACTCACTCACACTTCACTGTTAGACACACAATCACTCAAATTTGAACAGAAAACGTAAGACAGAGTTCAAAATACAACAAGATGAACAACAAAATTCAACAAAATAATCAAAAACAATGACACAGGTTCTGTAAATATTGAACCAGGGCTTTTTTAAATGAAGGGACAGAAGTTAATGCTCGAATCGATGAGAGAACATTATTTCAGTCAGAAGGAACTTTATATTTAAATGAGTGTTTTCCTATTTGACAACAAAAAATATCTGAACTGCATGACGTAAACTGCAAGAGGATCTGAATGGAATTAAATACAGTTTGAGATATTCAGGAAAACTAAGATGAATGCATTTAAAGATAAATAATACACAGTGAAGTTGACGTGGGGAGGACAGAGTGAGCAGGACAGTTGGTGATACATCATACAGAGGTGAGTTCTGAAGGGACAGTGGAGAATGAACCTGCGCAGACTGTTCTAGATAAACACTGTGTGGATACAAGCTGTAGTATTAGTTTGATTGAGGTAATCTGGCAAATGACATAAATATGGTTATGGCTCTACCCTGTCCTCCCATTCTCATCTGTCCCTCCCTCTCCTCTCTTTTCCTCTCTCATCTTCTCTGTCCCAGGTCCCGTGGGTGCCCCTGATCCCCGCCCTGTCCCTCTTCATAAACATTTACCTGATGGTGCAGCTCGGAGCAGAAACATGGATCATCTACAGCGTGTGGATGCTGCTGGGTGAGGCGTCCACTTTACACTGCCCTGTGCTCAAGTTCAAACTAAAATTTCAGAAAGTTTCTTGTCAATTCTTCACATGAAAAACATACACTACCGGTCAAAAGTTTTAGAACGCTCTCATTTTTCCAGTTATTTATTGTAATTCAAGTCGTGCAAGTCCAATGAAGAGCTCGAAATGGTACAAAAGTAAGACCTGAACAGACAGAGATTAAAATAAAAGACAAAAGAAGAAAACACAAGTCCAAGCTCTGCCAAAACTACCTCAGGAAAAAGAACACACAGCACAGTCAGATTTAAACCCCATCGAGCTGGTTTGGGATGAACTGGACTGAAGAGAAGAACTTTATGAACAATATTTTATTTCTCTTGTAAAAAGAACGAGCCACGAGTGATCAACTGTTCTATCTGCCAAAGATGGACACTTTGATGAATCAACAGTTTAGAATATGTTTTGGTCATCAGTAAATAGTAAAAAAAAAGGAAAAAATTTGGTGTTCTAAAACTTTTGACCGGTAGACTATCGGATTTTCTGCACTATAGGACACATTCATAAGCCTCCAGCCCCATCAAAAAATGACACCCCACAATCCAGAGCAGCCTATACACGAATCCACTCGGGTGTCCCAGCACGACTTCAGTAAACTACAAAGCAGACAGCGACCACACAACCAAACACACCCACAGACACACTCATCACTCCACGACGACGAGGAACGGAACAGAGGAACGTAATAAAAAAGTGAGTGCAATGTGCCACTTCTAGACACAACTGAACAACTGAGTCACTGTGAACACACCGACAATCCGTTGGTCCCAGACAGCACCTCCCTACACGCCACAACTGAACAAAGCCCAGAGTCACCGTGAACGAACAAACAAACAAAACCACTCACCCATCACACTGTTGGGTTTCATTTAAAGTCCAGTGTGGTTTATTTGTGAAAAAAAGTTTGAAAATAGACCATTTAATGACAGTGCGTCTTATAATCCAGAGCCCCCTATAGTGCAGAAAATACGGTATAAAGAATCAAGCTTGTGTTTCTCACTCCCATATAAATAAATAATAATAAATGGAGTCCAAGTGTTCTTTGGGGAAGTTCTGTTGTTTGGGAGAAGCAGATTTCGAGCTTTGTGGCAGCCTGGTGTTCACATGTGTCGCTTTAATTGATTAGACAAACTGAGGAGAGTGTGACGGGTCCATGGCCTATTTCACCAAAACTATGAACCCTCATTTTACACTCACACATATTTACGAGGTGTCTTGCTCAAGCGTGCAAAGGTACTGCTGCAGGAGGGATTGTGCTAAAATTTGTAAGTTTTCTGAGTCATTTATGTAACAAGTGTTTGCTTAGTATTATGTAATGACTGTGTAATAAATATGTAAATACTTGTGTGTTATGTGTAATTAGCTGAGATGGATGGTCAGAAGATTCAAGGAAGGACCACAGGAGGGCAGGGCCAGTAAATGAAGACAAAGGAACGGCTGAAAATGAATAAAGTGTATTGTACAAAAATAAGTGAAATAACCCAACATACAAAAGCTGCAGCAAAACAAAAATCAATCAAATTGATTCAAAATCAGTTAAATGTCCTTGGAAAGTAAACTGCGATCAACAGATCTGAACAGAATTCAAGCTAAGTTAAGAGTTCATAATCAGTGATCATGAAGGGGTGTAATGTCCATTAAGCGCGACTCATCAGACAGTTGTGTACCGTATTTTCTGCACTATAGGGCGCTCTGGATTATAAGACGCACTGTCATTAAATGGTCTATTTTCAAACTTTTTTCACAAATAAACCGCACAGGACTTTAAATGAAACCCAACAGTGTGATGGGTGAGTGGTTTTGTTTGTTTGTGGCGTTCACGGTGACTCTGGGCTTTGTTCAGTTGTGGCGTGTAGGGAGGGTGTGTCTGGGACCAACGGATTGTCGGCGTGTTCGCAGTGACTCAGTTGTTCAGTTGTGTCTAGAAGTGGCACATTGCACTCACTTTTTCGGTTCATTCCTCCGTTCCGTTCCTCGTCGGTGTGGAGTGATGAGTGTGTCTGTGGGTGTTTTTCACTGTGCGGTCGACTGTCTGCACCGTGTGTGTTTGTGTGTTCTGTGGGTGGTGCGGCTTTGTAGTTTACTGAAGTCGTGCTGGGACACCTGAGTGGATTCGTGTATAGGGCGCTCTGGTCTGCAGTCGTTTTTTGATGGGGTTACAGGCTTAAGGGTGCAACTAATAGCCCGGAAAATACGGTAGTTGGTGTGGCTTGAGTAGGTGGGAGAGTTGGAGGACAGGCTGTTAACCTCCTACCAGACCGGAGGTTTTCTCACAGGATGGTTCCTAGTTCACCATCGGGATAGACCCAGTTTTTGGGCAACTGGTCAGTTCAGTTCAGTTTCAATTCAAATGCTCAACACACACGACTATGTCCCAACATCACGTCTGGTTCCTCAGAGCTCTGTCCTCTGGTGTCTCTACCACACAAACAACTGAGGAGTTTGAAGTCAGGGACCATTTTATACTCTGTCTACTGGACTGTGATTGGATAATTGGTGGAGTGGGTGGTGACATGTCATGTGGCACAGGGGAAAACCTGAGTTGAATCTTGATCTCACCAGATTGGATTTAACCCTGGTTACATTTGGCTGCGTCTCAATTCTGATTCCTCGCTTCCTTCTCCTTGATTCCTCTCCTTGATCCACAGTTTTTCACACGTCAATCAAATGTGTCATAATAAGCGGTGTCCCGAAGAAAACCACAGAGTGAAGGAGGAAATCTGAGGGGAGGCAGACACCAGAGAAAAGGATCAAAGTTTACTGGTCTCAGTGAGGAGTTTAGATCTTCTTTTCTCCCTGTGTCTTCTCTGTGGACGAGACTTCCTCACCCATTTCCTGCAGAATCAAGGAGAAGGAGGCGAGGAAATGAGACGCGGCCATTGCTTCCTCTGAGCATGTGTGGTTTCCTGGTGCACACTTGTGTCCTCTTCTGACACACCCTGCTCTCTTCACTCTCCGTGGGCAGTCACTTACTCGTGTGTTTCTCTCGTTCCCTGAGGTCTGGTGATCTACTTCTCGTACGGGCTCCGTCACAGCGCTCAGAGAGGACAGACCCGCAGCGCGCAGGAAAACTTCGCCCACATCATCAGGAACTCTGTGCACGCAAGGAACCACATCCCCGCGGCGTAGAACCAGCAACCACCTCACCCCAATAGCACAGAACCAACAGAAACCTCCCCTGAATAATGAAAGAACTACTTGTGGGTTTCATTCACAGATCTCTATTTTGAAGTACATTTAGAGGACTTTTGCTCTTCAAATATACTTGCATTATTTTTATTTTACTTGTTAATCGATACGGCAACAGTCCCAACATTTCATCACCCTGAATTTGGAAAGCGTTGGGAAAGTTCTTAATGTTTTACAACAGAAATCATTGTAAAAATCTGAAGCAGTTCTTGTTGAATCATCTGAAGCAACTTTCTGAATTCTAATAACAAGAAATAAGAATAATATGATTTTTTTTGCAGAGCCTTTCCAGATTTTCAGAGCATTATTCATTGGCCAGAGTCTCACAGTAAAGATGGGGAAGTGTCTTGCTCAAGAACACAACAGACATAAAATGTGCAGATATTTCGATACTGTACTGTTGAATATAAATCTGTTTTTGTTTTTATTCTCTAACGTCTCAGATGTTTTAAAATATTTCAGGGCGACTCATGTGTCGTGTTCAGCTTTTAGCCAAAAGTTGAAGTTTGTGCGAGATCTTTTTTTTTTGTTTTGTTTTTATTGCCAGCTGTTTTTCGTATAAAGTGATGTATTATAGAAATGTCTTACAAAAGTATTTTAGATGTGCTGTAGAAGTTTTCTTGGCTGATCAGTCCTGGATTCTAGTTCGTAACCTGTGATTTTGTAATTCTTTTAACTTGTGTAAAATAAATATGAATTTTAATTGTAAATTGTGTCGTCCGTGTAACTGTTTTGAGATACAGATTTTTAAGGATTTGGGTGGTACAGTGGTTGGTCTCACATCGTAAAAGTCTCAGGTTTGATTCCCAAAAAGAAAAAAGAAAAAAAAAACAACTTGGAATGTTTGCCCCCCTACCAAAAGTTCGGAGGTTCAAATCCCAAATCTGTTGTTCTTGTGAGGTGCTGGTTTTACGTGGCGACTTCTGAGATTTAAAATGCAACAGAAATGGCCGAAAAAAACCCCCAAAACTCACAAACTCTCCTCTTTCCTCTCTCTATTCTGTCTGTCGTGCGTCGCTCTTCTCCCTTTTTTTTACATCCCACACAAACTCTTCTATCCATCTTTCCCGCTCTCCTCCTTTTCTCTAAGCTGATTTGACCCTCCTCTCCTCCTCTCTCTCCGTCTCCTCTCAGCTGGTTTCTCTCTCTTCCCCTCCCTCTTTCTCTCCCTCTCTGCTCCTCTCTCTGTCTCTCCTGTCTCCTCACCTGAGCTGCTTTGTCCCCTTCTCCCTCCCTGTCTCTCTCCTCCCTCTTTTGTCTCAGTTTGTCTCTCCCTCCTTCCCTCTTTCCTCCTCTGTTCCTCCATTCTCCTTCTCTCTTCCCTCTCTCCTCCCTCCCTCTCCTCTGTCTCTAGTTTGTGTCTCTTCTCCCTCCTCCCACTCTCATCCCTCTCTTTCCTCCTCCTTTCCTCCATCTCTAGTTTCTGTCTCTCTCTCTCTCCCTCCTATGTCTCCAGTTTGTTTCTCTCTCTCCCCCTCGTCCTCCTCCTCTCCCCTGCTCTCTCCCTCCATCTTCTCTCGCCATCTCCTGCCTCTCTCCTGTGTCTCGTTTGTCTCTTTCCTCCCTCCTCCACACTCCTTCCCTCATCTCCCCCTCTCCTCCCTCTCTCCTCTGTTGTTTCTCTCTCTCCCTCCCTCTCTTCTCCCCCTCTCCTCTCTCGTCTGTCTCCAGTTTTTTCTCCCCTTCCTCCTCTCTCCCTCCCTCTCTCCTCTGTCTCTAATTTGTCTCTCTCCTCCTCTGTCTCTAGTTTGTGTCTCTCATCCGTCTCTTCCCTCCTCCCTTTCCTCCGTCTCTAGTTTGTCTCTCTCCCTCGTCCTCCTTCTCTCCCCCGCTCTCTCCCTCCTTCTTCTCTCCTATGTCTCTTGTTTGTCTCTTTCCTCCCTCCTCCATTCTCCTTCCTTCTTCTCTCCCTCTTCTCTCACCCTCCTCTCCCCATCTCCCTTTTCCTTCTCTCCCCCTTTCCTCCCTTTCTCCTCCGCCTTTAGTTTGTCTCTCTCCTCCTCTCTCCTCCCTCTCTCCGTCCCTCGTTTGTCTGTGTGATGGATGGCTCTGTCGTTCGTCTTGTGTGATAAAGTCTTGCGTGTCGGTTTCACACTGCGCCGCCTCCTCCTTTTCCTCCTCCTCCTCTTCTTCCTCCTCCTCTTCTTCACTCCCCTCTGAGCAGCTGAGCACCGGCGGACATTTTGTGTCGACTCACGGCGCCGTAATGGAGGAGCGTCTCTAATCAGGTCAGGTGATTAGAGCCGACGCCTGAGTGGGACTTTTTACTTTATTAACCGTTTTGAGCTGTAATAAACTTTATGAAAATGTGCTCTAACTTCATTCAGGGCGATTACCGCACAGACCAACGCCCACCACATCACAAACCTGCTCCACAACATTTAGTTCAGTTTATTCTCAGCTCCTGCTGTCATAAAATCAAACTGAGAAAAAGATCTGGTGGAAAGTGACAAATTACATTTACTCATGTTACTGTAACTGAGCTGTTTTTATGAGTCATTTGTAATTTTTTAAGTAGTTTGTGAAATAGGTAATTTACCTTTTACTCGAGTACATTTTGATCCAAGTATTTTACTTCATTACATTGGAACCCGCCCTCATTACTGAGTAAAATCAGATTGACAGAGAAAAAAAAACAAACAGTGAGCTGGAAATGAAAGTAAATTGCTCAGGCGGCACACATGACATTTTCACTCTGGAACAGGGGTGTCAAACATACGGCCCGGGGGCCGGATCCGGCCCTCCAAGATGTTTAATCTGGCCCTCGCCTAATTTTCTACTAAAATATTTTAATTATATTTTCTATTAAAATCTTGTTAATTTTCTGTGGTGTTTATCACAGCAGCGTCTCCAGTGTCTCTGTACGTGGCCCCTCCCACCAGAGCAGCACAAATGAAGACTTGTCTCTTTCCAAACGCTCTTAAAGGACGATCGTTTTGACTGTTGACCGTGACACCCTCATCAGAAAAATGTCCAACATGAGAAAAGTGGAGCCAAGTGCAGGATTTAACAAGAGAAATGGATTTATTCCTATTTACATACAAGTTCATGTTAAAACATTGTGTTGAAATTACATTTTTCTTAAAGTTTCAGGTTGTTCATAATATTATAATGTTTTGTAAAAGAAAGAGTTCATCAATTAAAGAAGATTTCTGTAATAGATTTGTGTTTCTCTGCACAAATATTTGAACTTATTGTTATTTTTGGGGTTTATATGACATGAGTTTTCTGATCCGGAACCTTTGGGGTCAAAGTAGGTTGGATACGGCCCCCGGACCAAAATGAGTTTGACACTCCTGGTCTAGAATGTTCAGTCAGTGAACAGAAGAGTCAGTGTGTCTTGGATCAATTTGGATGCTGCTGCTGCTGCTGTTGAGCCACAGATCGAGGTCGACATGGACGATATTCAAGAAGAAGGTGCATTGAATAATTCTTGAGAGGAAAGAGAAGGAAATCCTTGGACAGCTATTAGAGTTCAAATACAAAAAAGGGAATAACATAATAATCCAAGTGTTAAAATAGTAAGTGTTAAAATAGTGTCTTTAAAATGTACCAAGTTTCCATTGAACCAAGTTTGTCTGTGTGACCTAAAAGTTGATTAAAACAACTTGTGCTGGATTAAATTCATGACGCATCCTTTTTTTACTGCAAATAATTGAAAATACTCAAATAACTTTGACTCAAATTACATTTTAAATTAAGTTCTTTTTAACTTTTACTCAAGTAGATTTTTAGATGGTTACTATTACTTTTACTTGAGTAGGAATTAAACAAAGTAAAGATACTTTTACTTAATTATAAATTTTTCAGTACTTTTTCCACCTCTGTGTCTCTCTCCGTTATTCACACTTTTTGGTCATGTCCTCACGTTAATACTTCTTGGACTTCAGTGTTCCATATTTTGACTGAGGCCTATAAAACCAAAACTGCCTCCACTGCTCTGCTTGTGCTCTTCAGTGTGTTTCCCTCTGGTGTCTCCACTGCAGAGTGTTGTTCTCGTGCTGTGGCCTTCACTTGTTTGGGAGCACAGAGCCTCGTTCTCTGGAGGTGGGAGGAAGAGCTCCCTCCCACACATGAATCATGATCACTGGATAAATGATCTCATGAGTTCTTAAGTTTATTGAGGAGATCAGGTTTACACTTGCAGGTTCAAGTACAACATTCGAAAAAACATGGCAGCCATTTTTGTACATGGACATAAAAACCGGGCATCATACCTCAGCATGGCTGTGTATGTCTTTTTTATTTTCATTATGTATTTATTTGTCTTTAAATGATCTATTTTTTTTTTTCTCTCTCTTTTTTTGCTGGGGATAAGTTTTGAAAAAAAAAAATTGCACAAATATGATGTTTGGTAAATTGTGTAATTTGTTATCAATGCACAAATAAAATTGTAAAATAATAATAATAATAAAAATAATAATAATAATAAATAAATAAATCAAAATCTGCACGGGCCTCCTGGTTTTCATTAGAATCTTTTATTCAGTTAATTTTATTTGAACAGCACATTTTATAAACAACATGTGAAGTTTGCATTAAAACATTATATTCATCAGATGTGACTGTCTACCACTGACCATTTCTCATTAACTGGGGGTGTGAGGTTAACTGAAAGCACTGCTCTGTCTGAAGATCTGTTACTCAAATTAGATTTAATCTGAGTTTTATTTGAACAATCTGACCAGAAAGAGCTGATTTGGTTGGAACTAAAAGTCCCTCATCATGAAACAGGTTGTCACTGACATTTTTGTTGAAAATGTCAGTCTTGGAATTGTCCATTTCTACTGAACAAAAAGTAAAATACATTTTTAACTTGAAAACTACCACTACATGACATCACAAGGTGGAACTGTTCAACAACTCCCCCTCATGGAACAGATAATACTCCCTACAACTATACAACAACTCACCCTTATGTAACAGATAATACTCCCTACAACTGTACAGCAACTCACCCTTATGGAACAGATAATACTCCCTACAACTGTACTGATGTAACAGATAACCTTGTCCTGTCAATCATCATATCATTGTTGAACTGTCTTCCTATGACTTTTGACATCTGTCTCTTGCTCTTTGCTATTTATTTAGAATTTATTATTACCATTTATATGTTTTCTCTTTGGGATTATATTTATTGTGATCTGTGAGCTCCTGTGTCCAAATCATTTTCCTTGTGGATCAATAAAGTTTGTCTAAGTCTCTTTTTTTCAGAGTTTCAGTGTTCATATTAAATCACCACTAGAGGTCAGTGTTACCCCACAGAAAAACCTCTGCTCTTTTCTCGTGGGCCTCGTGGGTCTTTATCAAAAGGCTATTTTACACACAAAAGTGCAGTCTTTAATTTACCTCTAAAGAGTCAGAATTTAAAATCAGGTTCTAAAACCAAAACAATGAAACATGTTGTTCAGGTGACTTGAGATCATCATGTATTTTTATTGCTAAAATTAGAACAAAAAAATAGAATGTAAATATTAAAGAACTGAAAGCCAAAGTTACAATATCACAGAGGTTTTCAAACTGGGTAAATGTGAGTCTCCTCTTAGAGTAGATCAAGACAGACGAGCCCCGCGCGACATGGTTTAGTCCTGGTTAAATCCTGGTTTAGAGCTGGTTTTAGTCCTGATTTTAGTCCTGGTTTAGACCTA